CATCTCCAGTATGAATTACAGTTAATGGGAAACTGACTAACACAGTTTGGGAGCTATAACAAACTCCATCAAACTGCCCATTACACCGTAACTTGACCATAACTTGTTTGCTTTATTCCACAGTACATCTAGGTGTTCCATCCACATTAAGTATACTCTTCTTACAGGCTACATAATAGCCCTTAAAATAGATATACACATATATCTATTTCTCTATCCACTTCTCTATCCATGGGCACTGAAGCTGTGTCTTGTTTTTTACTGTCTCAAAAATGACATGCTAAACCTCTTCTAAGAAGCACCACATGGAAGATTCCAGAAGTAGATTACTTTGAACATAAATGTTTTATTTCAAAATGTGGCCTTGACTTCCTTTCAGTGGCTCCCTGGAACGCAGCCTGGCCCCTGGCCATCATGCCCTGAGAAGCCAAACCTCGAAGTCGCCTGCCCCTCCTTCTCCTTGCCCTCCCACCCACAGCACTGATATGCATAAAAGACTCGGGGACCTCCTGGGCCCAGCAGCCTCTTGTTATGTTCCCAGCCCCGTCTCTCCTTCTGTCCCTGACAGCTCCCCTCTCAATTTGCACCCGGCACTGCGGGAGGGCTGGCTTTAATTTTCCACACTGCTGCCACTGAGCAGCACCCAGAAAGACGGAAACCCAGTCTTGTGATGTTTCCAGCGCCACCTCCTCCGAGGCCAGGCAGGCCAGGCCTCTGTCTCTCTCCTTCCATGGCTCAGGGTCCAGCTCCTGCTGCCTGCATACTATGCTGGGACAAGCATTTTACCCCTCTGGGTCTACTGTCCTTGTCTGACCGGCCTGATTACCCTTGTGGGCTGTAGCCCAGGAAGGGACTAGAAATGAGGCAGGGCCAAGAAGCACTTTCTGCCTCCCCCTTCAGGAGCACCAGCCTTTCCTGCCTCTGGAGCAGCCACACACATACACACACACACACACACACACACACACACACACACACACACACTGTCCTGCCTTCCAGCTTTGTTCCTGCTGTTCCTCTTAGTGATGCAGGTCTTGGCTTCCATGTCTGAAGGAGACAGAGAAGGGTAGCAAGACCCCAAAGCACCAGAAACAGGCAAGGAGCTCCTCCTCTGGGCTACCGTGGCCCCTGACCTGAACACATTAGACTAATATTATACTCAGTGGAGCACCATTCCAACCGGGTAGAAGCAAACTTCCAGGGTTCAAGTTCCAGATCTGCCGGCTACTGTGCAAACTTAATTAAGTACCTTGCCTCACGTCTCTGTGCCTCTGTTTCCTTACATGCAAAGTTGAGGATGATCATAATAGCACCTGCCTCAGGAACTGCTGTGAAGATTAAAGGAGCTGATACCTGCAAAGAGCTCGGTGCAATGTCGGTGCACAACTGTTTCCTCATCTTCTATGCCAGACAGCTGACCCAGGGCTGGGGGTGAAAATATGTGCCCAGTAAATAAGTGACTCTGACAGATCTGCAGTTATCAGCTCCATTTACAGACCAGAAGCTTGAGGCTCAGGAAGACATCAGTCAGAACAGAAGAAGGAGGCATTAAGTGAGCTTCTACTGTGTGCAGGGACCTCCTCTGGAAGCCTTGCGTGCATCATCTCATTTCACCCCAGAACAAGCCTATTTATGGGCACAGGTGACTCATAAGAACTCACACACAGCTGGTGAGCGGTAGATAGGGGTCCCCACTTCCTGTGCCTTATCTAAGATGGGCTGATTCCATCTTTGCCCCTTGTTACAAGTGGGCTAGTCCCTCGGCCTGGCAGATTGGCACTTTGAGCCCTTTGGCCATAATGATTGGCTGTGCATGGGTCATGTGGCTCAGTCTGGTCCAATGAACGGCCTGGCTGGAAGTGCAGAGGGGACCACTGAGAAACAGTCTCTTCCTATCAGGGCTGCTAAGGTGGACAGGACTCAGCTGAAACTAGAACTCTCATGGAAGAAAGCAAAGTCCCAGAGGAGGCAGAAAGCAACAGAGCTGGGCTCTATGAGTCCCAGCAGGAACATGGGCCAGTAATTCCTCTTCTTCCTTAAGACAGTATAATTTGAGTTTGTCATTTGTCATCAAAAGGTTCCCCGCTGACACCAATAGCCTGGTTGGCTCTTGAACATGGATCTTTAATCTACACCGTGCTAAGTCTGATGCCCTCTTTGCAAAAATCACTCTGGTCCCTAGCCAAGAAACAAAACTCATGATTCCCCAAAGCTGATCTGGGAGACCAAACAGCCAAGAAAGGGGGATTGGCTGAAAAGGAAACTGCACCATGGGAAACCTCTCTCTGTTGCCCGCTGAAATAGGTGAGCTCCGGTGCACCTCTACATGAATGGGATAACTCTATTCAACTTCACTCCACCACGCTGATGAACAGAACTGAGGAGATGCTGGGAGATAAGTCTGCCTCGCAGGCCTCGGTCTGCCAGGGAACGGCACCATTACTGGGTGCTGAAGTGATCTGTGTGCTTTCCTGGAGGAAAACAATCAAGGTTTCTGCCCATACACCCTCCCCAGGATCTGCCTAGGAGGCTGTCAGAGAACAGTGCTGCTTGTCAACTGGCTGCTCTTTCTGATCTCTGCAGCAGATCTTTAAAGGAATAAATGTCTTTACATAACAAAAGAGCTTGGAACAAACTCAAATTCATTTTGGGGGGGAAAAAGAGATTCTGAGAAAAAGGCTCTCTACTGGGGGTGATTTGTAATGAGCACACAACCCAAAGGGGCAGCTTGCCCTCTTTCTTGGATGGTACAATGGTAACAACAGCAGCTACCATTCATGGTCACATATGGAGGCCAAGCATTGGGCTAGTCTCTTCAAAGATGCCCTCGAGTTCTGTCCTCACTAGAACCTTAGAAGGAGGAACAGCAGTTATCCTCATTTTGCCCATAAGGGACCTAAAGCTCAGAGAGGTGTAGGAAATGTCCAAAGCCACACACTTAGTTGGCCATGAATCTGAGATTAGACCTATGTCTGAGACTGAACAGACCAGTACCTTCTGGGTATGACTTCTACCTGTTTCTCAAAATGCTGAAACAGGGAGGGTTGTTGCAGCAGCAAGTTTCAAAAGAAAGCAGGCCAGTGCCAACCACAGTTAGCCACTGAATTTAACCTTAAGGTGACTGAATGTCAGCACCCAGCCTGGCAAAGGCTGGGCACACCACAGATGTGAGTGCAGCTAGCAAGAGGCTGGAAGAAATGGTGCAGGAGAGAGATGGTGCTTATCCCACGCTTACACTATGTCCATTGCCACTGCTTCACACAACACAGAGCTCCTGCAGCAACCCAGGCATAATGTGAGGTCCTAGGTCAGGTTCATTTGTTTTTCATTCATATTCATTCCACTTCATGGAATCTTGATCTTACCCCTCCTGGTTTTGACATCTTATTTTGATCAATGTGGAAAATGAGGCTGAGTGCTTCAGAAATCTACTCCAGGACTGTGGAGGACCCCAGAAGGGTCTGAGCTGGGACTGGACCCTCATCTTCCTTACCCCAAACACAGGAATTCTTGACGATACTTGAAACAATGTCCCAAGAACACCCAAAGTCCCACCCTGTGCAGCTGGTGTTGAGGACAGAGTACATGACACCTTTTGCCCCCCTCAACTTCCCCCACATGTCCCAGGGGTGTCTCCAGCAGTGGGATGTACACGGTGGGGTGCTGGGCTGACTCAGATGAGCTTACAGGAACTAGTTTAAGATTCCAGGAATCTTGTGAGCTAGGTGCCATCATATGGGCAGCTAGAAATTGGCCACAGTAAAAGTATTTACACCACAGAACTTGGCAAACGCTACAGGTCAGGGGCTTTTTCTCCCTCCCAGAGAGCTAGTTGTTAAATATTTCCCAGCTCAGGACTGGACTTTAGATTTCCATCCATCCACCCATACAATTGATCCATTCATTCAAATATGTATATTTGTTATATAGTCTGCATTCACTTGCATCCTATCTTAAGCCAGGTTCAGGAGGTTAAGACAGATATGATCCCTGCCCCCATGGGGCTCACAGTCTAATGAGGGAGTCAGGTTTTAACACACCCTCCCCAGAAGAAGCCACATGCCCTACATACAAGTAGGAGTCAACCAAGTGAAGCTGGAGGGGCAGGGCGGGAGCAGGGAGATTCCAGGGAGAGGGAACAGCACGTGCAAAGTTGTGTGGCAGAAGAAGCAGGGTGTGCTCCAGGAACGGGTCCAAGGTGGGCATGGCCAGAGAACAAAGTGCAAAGGAAGAAAGGAGCTGGAGAGTGGCCCTGCCAGGCCCTGTGGACCACGTGAGGGACTCATCCTTATTCTACAGTCTTCAAGCCTCAGCAGTCCACCCAAGGAGCCACATGGTTCAAGGTCTATGGGAGTCACTCCTTGCTTCCTCACCACACCCTCTCTGTGGCCCATCTCTGGGCCTGTTTCCTCATTGGAAAAGTGAATATAAAAATGGAGCTAATACCTTCAGAGGGTGGATGTGAGGATCCAAAGAAGACGTAGGTGAAAAGCCCTGAGCTCCATATCTGGCCAGTTTCAAACTTCCATGACAGTGACTGTGATATCTGATTTCCTCCTCCACAAGTGCTCATTCAGCCCGTTTTCTTTCTTACATTCAGCCCTGTACTTTTATCAAGTGCTGGGCATTGGGCTGGGCACTGGGGAACCTGCCACCAAAAAGACAGGTGCAATGGTCCCTGGAGGAAGGGACCCTGCCTCCCGCCTGTCTTGAACCAGCCCCCCAAAACTTACTGCATTCCTACTCCTGCCAGGCTGAGCTGGGGTCTGTGAGGTAAGACCTCCTCTCTGTTACCCGCACTCCTGGGGTTGATTTCGGAGCCTGCTGGGTTCCCATGCTTCTGCATGCTGCTGTTCACTCTGAAGCCCAACCTGTGCTTCCCCACCGCAAGAGAGGCTTAACCCCAACCCTCTCCCAGGCCCTGCCATCCAAGGCCGCCCCAGGCCCACCGTTTGGGGAAGGGCGTTTCCTCCCTCCATCGCCCTCCCTCCCGGACTCACTGAGAAGTTGTCGGCTTGAGTCGCTCACCGTCACGTTCTCTTGCCAGAAGGGGTTCATCAGCGGGGTGCACGGGCTCCGCACTGGATGGGACGAGGAACTAGTGGGCCGGGAGCTGGGTTTGCGACCCCAGCCCGCGGCTCTGTCCTCAGGATCGCCCTCCTTGAGGGTGAGGGGAGCGCTGGCGCAGATGGGAGCAGAGCCGGGCATCTCCAGAAGGGCTTTCGCACGCAGCCCCAGCCCTCGGCCCGGCCCACCTTCCCCGCGCCCCTGGAGGTCGCACTGGTACTTGGCGCCCGGGGGAGGGGTGCGCACCGAGCAACAGGTCCCAGGTGAGCTGGGCACCGCGCGAGGGGCATTCGCAGCCACGGCCCCTGGGTTCCCACGTGTAGCCTTACCCCGGCAAGTCCTCCAGAGGCCGGAGTGGGAGCTCAGAGGCTCGGGCTGGCTGCGGTTGGCGGCCCCCAGCCGGTCCTGCGCCGCCCGCCCGCTCCTCTCCAGCCGCTCGGTGTCGATGATGTACCAGAAGTCCGTGCCGATGGCGGCGGCCAAGAGCACAAAGCTCAGCGCCCCGGTCAGCGCCGCCGCGCCGGCCAGCGAGCCCAGACGCACCCGCATCGCTGCGCGCGGACCCCAAGCCTGGGGCCACTACCTAGGCCTGCTCCACCCGGCCTCGCCAGGGAGCTCCGACGGGAACCCCGGCCTTCGCACCCCCGGCCCTGCCGCTCACGCCCTCACCTGCGCTCCCAACCGCACGCAGTGCTGTCCCCGACTCGGCGCCCAGGACCCTTCTGCCTGCGCCCCCACCTGTGCACACTGGGGTCCCACTCCGCCGGCTGCCCCGCCCCCTGCACCCTAACCCCTCCTCCCTCCCGGGCCCAGCCCACGCATACCTCGCCCAAACTCTGCGTGGTCCCCTAAACCCCTACTCCCTACACTCCCCGGCCTCCCCCTCTTCACCCCAGCCCCCTTCCGCTCCCCACCCCGCACCTTGCTCCGGGTCCTTCCAAGCCCACCCTCCCACCGCTCTTGCTCCCGCCCGGGCGCCGAGTCCTAGCAGAGGAAGAGGTCAGAGCTCTGAGCGGAGCGCGCGGGCAGCCTGGACCGAGGGAGGCGCCCAGCAGCGCCAGGGGCCGGGGCTGCGCCAGAGGGAGGCGGTCTTCCTGCCGCCTTGGGGAGTAGAAAGGAAGGAGGGGGGATTCACAGTCCAGCCAGGGCTTGCAGACATCCTGCTGTGGCGCCCTGCCTCGGGCTCCAATCACCTAGCTACCAAAATCCACCTCCCAGAAATTCTTCTGGGCTGGCTACTAAGGGAAAAAGGCAGGTTCATTTTTTATAAAAGTTCCTTAAAGTAATGGGCTAGAGCAGGTTCTCTGAGTCTATCGTGTCCACCACCAAAGTCCTTCTTCATCATCATAGCTGATGCCACCACTACCACCACCACCACCTCTACCCCCAACACCACCAGTACCAGTGTATTACCATTCTCTTCTTTATCATCACCAATACCCTTGCCCATTCTACCACCTTCTGCACCAGCACAAAACCTTTCATTCTTCCAAGAACTACTTCTTGAGCCTCCTACATGCCCGAACTTGGTTTATGTTAGAATACAGGCAAGAATATAGTGCCCGTGCTTAGTATATGGTGTAGCCCTTTTCAAAACAAGGCAATCAAAGAAAATACTCAAATGTTGTATGGCACATAGTGGTAAATGTACATGGCACATAGTGGTAAATGTACGAGAATTCCAGATGCTGGAAATGGCCAGGCTTGGGGCTGTACTACCAAAGGTCCCCCAAAGTTCTCCTTGTGGATGAAAGATCAAAATCCTGGCACCCCGGCAACACATTCCTAGGGAACCATCATACCAAGCCCGAAAGTTGGTACTCTCTGGTCAAGTTGAGGAGATAGTCATTAAGCAAAGTGCTTAGACCCATGGAAGTGCTGCAGGGAAAGCAGAGAGGGTCTCAGCTGACCTCTCTGAGGAAGTGGCATTGATGCTGGCACATGAAGAATGCACAAGCATTGAGCATTTCATTGGGGGCCTTCTAGAGGAGCTGAAAGGAAGGCAATCAGGTTAAAACAGTGTGGGAAGGGCATGAGGAGGGATGAGGCAGGAATGTAGGGAGGACCTCAGTCAGGCAGGTCTGGGGATCCATGATAGCTTGGGTTTCATCTGAATCACTAAATGGTTCTGAGAAGGGAAGTGAAATGCTCTAATTTACATTTTTTAAAACCTCAACTTCCTTTTGAGAAGTATCCATTTCAGTTGCCCATTGTTTGACTGGATCTTTTATTGGAGGGGTCTGGTTTGTTTGTTTGTTTTTGAGTTCTTTATATATGCTGGACATTAGTCCTCTGTAAGAAAAGGAGCTGGCAAAAGTTTTCCCATTCTATAGGTTGTGTCTTCACTCTGTTGGTTGTTTCCTTTGCTGTACGGAAGCTTTTCCGTCATAAAGAAGGATAAATTTGAGTAATTTGTAGGAGAATGCATGCATCTTAAGACCATAATGTTAAGTGAAATACATCAGACACACAAGATGTGTTATGTACATGTATCAACTCCCCCACATTGAATGTGGTCATTATGCGCTACAAACATGTATTAATAAAAATTTTCCAAAAAATAACCCTCAACTTATCTGCTGACTTGGGAAGCAAAGGGGCCAGTTAGGAGGACACTGTAGTGGAAGAAACAAAAGATCCCAGTGTTTTAGGCCAGGTGGTGGCATAGTGTATAGGGAGGGAAGTGAACAGACATTTTTTTAAATTGAGGGCTGTTATAGTTTAAATATGAAGTATCCCCCGGAGACTTGTGCCTTGAGGGCTGGATCCCCAATGCAGCACTGTTCAGAAGTGAGGCCTAGAGAGGTGACTGGGTTGTGAGGGAGGGTGCTCACCTCACCAGTGAAGTAACTCACTGATGAGTTCATACCTGAATGGGCTGTTTGGAGGTGCAGTCCAGTTGGAGAAAGTACATCACTGGAAGAGTGCTTTCGAAGGATATATCTTGTTCCTGGCCTTTTCCTCTCTGACCCTTCCCTTCCTCTCTGCTTCCTACTGCCTTGAGGTGAGCAGCTTTCCTTCACTGTGCCCTCCTGCCATGGTATTCTGCCTCACTGCAGGCTTAAAAGCAATGCAGCCAGCTGACCATGGACTGAAACCTCTGAAATCAGGAGCCAAAATAAATCTCCTCCTATAAGTTGTTTTTTCAGGTATTTGGTCACAGTGACAAAAATTTGACTGATAGCTGACTAGAATTGATAGGAAGTAGTAATAGAATGGTGCTGAGTGTTCTCTTCCCTGTTACTGGACTCTTCCTTACCAACACCATCTTAATCTTCTTCATCACCATCTTCATCTTATCAGCATTAGCACACTGGCTGCCATCAGTATGATCATATCTTCCTTCATTCCGCACACCATTTTGGTCTGTCACCCTTTGGCCACCATTCTGATTGAGGCTGATCTTTCCCCTGGCCACCACCTGATAGCTTTGCTTTCAATTCCATGACAGTATTACCATCATATTCATTTGCACCACCATCAAAACAACCCATACCATAAACCTTACAGATGAAAGTAAAATTCAACTGAGGTTGGACCTGGGAGTCTTAGCAATGTCTCTAAGGTTCCATCTCTCTCCTCTTTCTTTTTCTTTCTCCATTTATGTTGTTTTCCTCTTGCTTGACTTTTTTTTTTTTTTTTTTTTGCGGTACCAGGGATTGAACTCAGGACCTTGTGCTTGTGAGGCAGGTGCCACTGAGCTAAATCCCCAGCCTGCTTGACTTTATTCTTCAAGCAGACTCAGCTATGGAGCCACAGACATTACTTGTCACAGCTTAGCAACACCAACAGAAAGAATATCTTTCCCAATGGTGGTCACCAGATTTCCAGAAATAAGGCTCACTGGCCTTATGCTCTCCTCTGAGCCAACACCTATGGCTCCATAGAACAAAACGTGCTGATTGGCCAAAGCTGGATCACCCGCCAACTCCTGGACCCAGCATAGGATGGATCAGTCAGTCCCATTACCCTGAGCTAAGGATTGTCACAGCTGCCAGATGTAGCAAATAAAAATACAGGATGCCCAGTTGAACCAGAATTTCAGATGAATAACAAACACTGTCTTAGTGTAAGTACAGGTTTCATGCAATATTTGAGATATACTAAAAAAAAACTGTGTTGTTTACCAGAAGTTCAAATTTAACAAGCTATTCTGTATTTTATCAGGCAAACTCAGCTGGCTCCATTAAGGAAAACCAAAGTGACTTTCCCAAAACCAAGAGAATGGATAATGGCAAGCAAAACCCACAGATATCCCCTCCCTCCAGCATGAGGATCACCCCTGCCTGGGCCCCACATCCCTCACCCACATAATGAGACCTTCTTCTAGGCTTGTGTGAAAACATAACCTTGTAGGTTTTGAAAATTTTATTTATCCTGAGGATTTTAATATAATCTTCTTGAATCATGCTCAGTCACTCTAAAAAGAACAGAAAGTAATGTTTTTTAATGATTCTGGGGAGGAAAGGATCCCATCAAACATTGGATAATATCATCACACAGCCAGTCAACTGAAGAGGCATGACAGAAACCAAAGGCTCCCAAGGCAGGACCCAAACAGGACACAACAGTGAAGATTAATGCTCCACCATGCTAGCTAGGCATGAGATGAGACTGAAATATACGGTGAATGCTGATTGCAGTAAAAGAAACATTGCCACAAATCCCCCCTTAAAATACTCTTCCTTGCTTCAAACATATTTTTTTCTTGCTTCAAACATATTTATTCCATCATTCTTGCCACTTTGTGAAGTCATTCTATTAGTCCTCTTTTGTGTCTCTATGAGTTGTGCTCAAAATACAATGAATGCTGCTGCCAAGTGCCTTCCCATGGAAAAGCAGCCTTGTAAAAAAGTTACGGTGCCTCCTCATCCACCTTATTCACCAGATCTGGCACTGTGTGATTTCTGGCTCTTCCCCAAAGTCAAATGACCATGAAAAGTGAACATTTTTAATCCATTCAGGACATTTAGGCAGCCACAACAGTGTACTAAAGACCCTCATGATAGAGGACTTCTAGAGCAGATAGGATAAGTGTGTTTGAAGTGAGGGGGAATATTTTGAGGGAGGTTAATGCCAATGTGTCTTTTACTGTAATAATTTCTTTAATTCAAACATTCACCATAGTTTTTTATCGCCCTTTGTGTAGTAAGGTGAAGAACAACACTCAGCAAGAACTCCAGAGTCTGGGCCCAAGTCTTAATCAGCATCTGACAGGCTGTCTGAGCCTGGAGAACTCGCCTTCCTTCTCCAAGCCTTGGTTTCCTTCTCTGTGAAACAGAGATACTCATTATGGCGATCTCAATGTAAGGTCAAAGTTGCCTTTCACTATGAGGCATTGGGGTATCATGGAAAAACTACATGTTTCTGTTTCAGTGAGACTTAGATTTGGCTCTCAGCTCCCTTACTTACCACCATGTGAACTTGGATAGACCACTTTTCCTGGTGCCTCAGTTTCTCTATATGTAAAGTGAATATTAACAGCATCACTCCAATCACATGGCCCTCTTCCTCCTGTGTCTCTCCTGGCCTTCACATAAGGACATCAGTCACTGGCCTTAGGATCCACCCTAATTCCGTGTGACTTCATCCATACTAATTATAATTGCAAAATCATATTTCCAAGTGAGCACATCCTGAGGTTCTGGGACACATAAATTTTGGGAGGGCACTACTCAACCCAGTGCAGCTATCAAATGTGATCCAGGCTCCAACAGGACCCGCC